GGGGGGGTTGCTTGGTTTGGTGGTGATGCTTCCAAAGCCAGCGTTCTTGAAGCGAGACGTGCATGCAAGAGGCCAGCAGCCAGGTAGCCCCTCAGTGTCTCCCTTCTCTAGCCCAGCTGTGACGGAGGTGCCCCAAGCAGGAGGCTTTAAAGAACAGAAATGCATTTTCTCCCAGTGAAGAGGGGTCAAGCCCAAGCTCAAGCCCCTCCGTGGGCTTGGAGGGCAGGCCCTCTCAGCTTCTGTGGTGCTGGCTAGCCTCAGGTCCCTACCCACCCTCGGGGGGTGGCCACCCCCCACCAGAGCTTGCTAGCTCTGCTCCGGCTTCTCGTCATATTGCTTAGGAGTGGTCAGGTTCTGGGCACCCCCTATGGTGGGCATGACCTCATCGGCATAACCAGGAGCCCTGTTCCCAAACTGGCCAGCATCTGCAGGCACTGCGGGTTTTGCGATCCGCACGCAAACTGCCCTTCCTAGGGTTTCCGAGCCTGTCAGTCATCACAGAGGCTGACAGCCTCATGCTCGCCCTCAGAGTGGCAGATAGGTTTGACTTGCCGGCCGTGTGGTTAGCAGCCAAATGCCCAACCCACAGTGCCACTAGCACCCCTTTCATCACCTCTTTCTGTGGGGCACAATTCGGTCAGTGACACGCAGGCTCAGACATAAACTCCAGGCAGCCCTCACCTGCTCCTCCTCGGTCACAGTCCCTTCCCACCAGCGGCTGTCAGCTCTGTCCCAGTTCTGTGCTCATGGCTTTGTTAAAGCGGTTTTACCTCCTAACTGTGCATCGAGGAGCCTCGGTGGTATCACAGGTCACAAGTCGGGCTGCTCAGCCCAAGGTTGGCAGTTCGAGCCTACCAGGGGCTGCACGGGGGAAAAGACAGACCGTGACAGCCTCAGGAACCCACAGGCGCGGTTCTGTTCCCTCCCATCATGTGGGGAGTCATTTGTGTCGCAGCCCGCATCACTGAGCATCACAGTGGGTGTCTTCCTCTTTGACCCTACCCTGCACGTGGGAATGCTACCACGTGGGTTCTTCTGCATCACGTGGGTGAGATTGTCCCAGCTCTCTGTGTGGAACTTGTTAATCTCTGAGACTGCTCAGGAATCCTAGTGGGCTGTGCATTGGGCTGCCTAGCCAACCTCCAGGTCAACAGTTCAAATCCACCAGCAGCTCCAAGGGAGAAAGATGAGGCTGCTGCTCTCCTAGAGAGTTCTAGCCTTGGAAACCCCAGAGAGCAGCGCTGCCCTGCCCTGTAGGGTCACTGTGAATTGCAGGTTTGGTGAAAGGAGCCCCCCTTTGTGGCCAGTCCACAGGGAGCTGTTCTCTTGGTGATGGACTCTCGGTCGTTTCCATTGCCCCTCCAGGCATGTCCCTCCCTGTTTATTGTGCTTTGCTTTATTTCACGCTTGCCGCACGGTGGACACGTTGAAGGTAAGACAGTCCCGTGTCCAGCAAGTCCATGGACACAGTTTTTCTGCCATTAAGTGCTCACTTTATGCCCCTGTGCCACCTTCTGGCCCTTCTCACAGTGCTGTAGACTTACGTCGTGCTGCCGATCAGCTAGGGTCTTGTGGAAACATCACTGCTGTGCACGCCAGGAAGTCACGTGTCTCACGCCACTTGTTTTATTGCGCAGCCACTCTGTAGCCGTGGCCTGGAATGGACCACAGTGTCTCCAAGGCCTGCCTGTGGAGTGTCCCCATGGGGGCCAGTCCCCCATGCCGCCATGCCACCGGCACTTTCTGCACGTATGGGGATGCCAAGCCATCTCCCAGGCAGCTCTGGCTGGGTGTGCCCCTGGGATTGTCTGGGGCAAGTTTCTGGGTTGGCTTTGAGTCATTGGACCCTCTGGCACTCGCAGGACACCCATGGCCCCTGCTTAGATCTAGGGAACGACTCTCTTCAGTACACTAGTGACTGCCATCGGCTTTCGTTCAGCATCCAAACCAACAATGCGTAGGCACAATGTGGCTGGCACCGAGGTTAGAAATAACCTGAGTGCTTGTGGGAGACAGTGGAGGAGGCTGGGAAGTTCTCCCGGGCTCCGGGCAGAGGTCTCCCATGAACAGCTCTTGTGCTGCTTTGGGCTCTGAGGTCCCGGAAAACCAAAACCAAACGTGTGGCCACCCTGATGGTCGGCAACTTCACAGGTGTGCAGTGCCCCACGGCATCACCAGTGTCCGTTTTCGGAAGCAGGTTGCAGGCCTTTCTCCTGCAGCCCCTCGGGGTGGGCATGAACCGCCCTCCTGGGCTTAGCAGTTGTGTGTGCTGCCAACCCAACGCCCCTGGCAACCCCGCAGGGCAGACCTGACCTGCTCCACAGGGCTCCCTAGACACTGAAGCAGACCGCCTCTTCTTCCTCTCAAAGGGCGGCTGGTGACTTAGAACCTCCGACTTTGTGGTTCACGGCGAGATGCTTAACCCATGCATAACCAGGGCTCCTCACGTCCCTGAGGGGGTGGGAGGTGTGTTCTCTCCCACTGTGGAGCAGACTGGGGAGTGGGGGGCACCAGAAGAGCCAGCAGTGCAGCTCCCAGATCCTGGTTGTCGCTGATGCCCTGGCGACCATCCCGAGTGGGAAGGGCTGGCCTCCACTCTAGACCACGAGGTCTTCTGTGTGATGCTGAGAGCCGCGTGGCTGCATCCACGCTCACCCTCTTTTGTCTCCTGTCCTGCCCCCAGCGGATTACCATAGCAATGGCTACACCGTCACCAATGGCTGGAAGATCCACAACACGGCCAAGAACAAGTGGTTTGTCTGCATGGCCAAGACGGCCGAGGAGAAGCAGAAGTGGCTGGACGCCATCATCCGCGAGCGGGAACAACGCGAGAGTGAGTGCTGGCCCTCCCCAGAGTGGAGGGGGCGGCTGGGGGGGCCTCCCTAGACCCCTGGGATGTCCACAGCTACAGGGGTAGGGCTGTGCTTAGAATTCCAGCAGGCGAGAATGCAGAGGGACAGAGAGAGGGGCATTTCCCATAGTCCCTCACTCTCCTATCATAGGCCACACTCCCAAGGAAGTATCCTCAAGCTACCACTTGATTTGATGGACTTGGCTCCTCCCTTAGCCAGGAGTGTCTAGTTGATATGAAATCATCTAATGACCACAGGGAGCTCTCTGGAACTATTTCTTAACGTGATGGTACCTCCGAGGCTGCCCAGGATGCCCTGTCCCTGCCCATTAGACAGATGCTGAAACTGAGGCCCAGGCAGGAGCAGGGACTCGCCCCAGGTGATGATGATGGGCTTGTTCAGTGGGGAATTCTCGACACCCTTTGCTTTAAATAAATAAATAAATTTGGGGGGGTGGTAAGTAAATTAGTTGGACACCCATCACTCTTGGGGGTTGGAATCTCAGGTGTTGCCCCACGTGCCCCTGTCCCCTTGGAGGTCCCCCAGGCCTCACCCCTCTGTGGTCCCCGTCTCTTCTCTCTGAATTTGTCTGTCTTTGAGAAGTCACCAAGTCTGGGAGGGAAGCCCGGTGGGGCCACCAGCAGGCTCGGCCAGGGTGCCCTCTGGACCTGGGGCAGCTGAAGAGCTCCCCGAAGGAAGTGGCAGGGCAGTGAGGCTGGGGATGAGCATGGCTCTGTGGATGGGGGCGGGGGGCATTTACTGTGCAGAGAGCTCCAGGTGGGGAAGGGGGAGCTTGGCGTGTTTAGGGGAGAGTTACTTTGGTGATCTTGTCTGTAAGCGGGGAAACAATTCCCACGGCAGAGGGTGGCTTTGAGGCTCCATTGAGCTCTTTGAACCAACCTTGCTTGGAAATCTGACTCATGGCCCGCAGAGCCTCCTTCAGCTCCCATTTTACAGAAGAGGAAACTGAGGCCAGTCTCCTCCATACCAGCTGTCTACTTGAAGTCATTGGGTCCATCATGCCCTCAGACCTAGCTTGCCTGCAACAAGACTCCCGGGATTCCCTTCTGCTTTCTGCCCCACCCGCTCACTCTTCCAGCCGACTTCCCGAGCTCAGCAGATGGGGTCCTTTCCGCCAGAGGCCCGCCTAGGTGTTGATACCCGACTTGGATAGGTCAGCGAGGTCTTCCGCTAATGGGTCCACCTGTCTCCTTTCCCTGCCCCGTGGTCACCTCTCACCAATGGGGACCCAGCCAGGCTCGATGTATTGCTTCCCTTTTCTCTTTATTCTTTCTGAGGAAAGTTAGACAGACCTCTAAGGGTTTTATTTTTATTCTCATTTTCTGATTTTAAATATTACCTATAAATTTAGTTAAATGCCATCAGGCCAAATGCACTCTGTCTTTGGCCCTGGGTCAGGCGGTCTGTAACCGTTGCTCAGTGTTGGGTGTGCAGTCGGGGCTGAGGTGGGGGGTCAGGGTGTGGCCTGGATGTACCTTGATCTGTGTCTTTGTGGGCAGAATTGAAGGCTGTGGTCGGGGCTGTGCATATCTGATCACTGCGGCTCGAGTGTGGCCCTCAGGGGTCTGGATCCTGAGAGTCAGGGTATTGTTCCTGCCCAGCCTGGGTCCAGATCCTGGTTCTCCCACTTCTCACCAGGAAATCTTAGAGACCTTTAGCATCTCCCGGCCGCACTTCTTAACCTGTAAATTGGGGGTAATGCTGTAGTGGGTTTCCTGGGAGGACTGAGAGGCAGATAGAAAAGCATCCTCTGCTGTTGTTGGTCACAGCTGCTCCCGGGATGGGGTGGGCTGTGGGGCGGGGAATGGATTCAGGGCCCTGTGTGTGGCCTGGAAGGGCAGCTGGACTTCCACCGCTGCCCGGAATGACATTCTCCCCGGGCTGCCCCGTCGCCTCTGAATTTGGAACTCTACCCAGCAGAGTGGTGAGAATGAGGCTCTGGAGTCTGACTCCCGGGCCAAAGGCTTGGCCCCCGATGAATCCAGAACTTGAACCTCTCTGGGCCTCAGCTTTGTCCCTGTAGGATGGGGCGACAGGCTCTTGGGAGGATCCAACGGCAGGTGCCTCTCACGGTGACGGCAGGTGGGCTGTAGAGGGTTGCTGGGCTGTACGGAGAGCTTCCCCCAAGCTCTGGTGGTCTGCCCAGCGCTGACCCTGTCCCTTCCACAGGCCTGAAGCTGGGCATGGAGCGGGACGCTTATGTCATGATTGCAGAGAAGGGGGAGAAGCTGTACCACATGATGATGAGCAGGAAGGTGAACCTCATCAAGGACCGCCGGAGGAAGCTGAGCACTGTCCCCAAGTGCTTCCTTGGCAAGTGAGTGGCTCCGCTGGCCCCCTGGGGGCTCCGCTGGAGGTGGGGCTCCTCCCAAGCCCACCCCACCCCACCCCAGCCCCCAGGGCTGCAGCCTGATCCCTGTGGAGCAGCCTTCAGAGCGCAAGAAGGCTAGTGGGGGTGGGGGTCCCCCATTTCAGAGTCTTTCTAGTTTTTGCTATTAGCCCCTCCCACAGCAAAACATAAGTGCTGTATTGTAACTTGTCCCACCCAAATGCATATGGTGTGATTGAAGACAGAGTTTCCAAAACGTAGTGTTTGATGTACTCTGAGAATTTCCATTCTGCCCTCAAGGAGCCTTTGTGGTGTAACAGGTTGCACATTGAGCTGCTAACTGCAGAGCCAGTGGTTCAAACCTCCCAATCCCTTCTCGGGAGAAAGATGGACAGCCTGGGAACCCCACAGGGCAGTTGTCCTTTGTCCTGTAGCATGTCTGTGAGTTGGATGTGATGGCAGTGGGTTTTGAGGTATTTGATTTTTTTTTTTTTTTCTGTTCTGCTCATTCCCAGCCCAACTCTTTCCTCAGTCATTTAAAACGCGGTGCTGGGCAGGACACGTGGAATCGGCTTCACAGCCTCTCACGGCTGCTGTAGCGGTCTGTTTAGTGGCCTGGCAGAGCAGCGGCTGCGGATATTTCAGACAGAGATGTCTCTAACTCAGGGAGTGAGTTAGTTACACGGGCCTTGGAAGGGCAGGGACAGCAGAGGCGGGTCCTCATTGTGGCTGAATGATCCCTACTAAGTAGCCCCTCTGGAGATCGCCCACGGTGCCTCCCTGAGATCAACTGTCACCCTGCTGTGTCCCTGCACCACCACTGCCTTCCCCAGGGCACCTTCCCAGTCCAAGAAGACCCTGGGGTCGGAGAGCACCGTGCTGTGGTGCTAAGGATAGTTATGAAGGCAGGGCAGCCCAGGAATGTTTGAAAGAACTTGATAGTTGAAGAAAGCATCTTAATCCATATCGAGAGAAGAGTCTAGACTTGGGAGCACTTCCTTAGACTGTCTGACGGCACGGACCTTGCTCTCATTTAGGGGTTCTCCTCTGCCCTGTAGGGTCTCTGAATCAGAATCGACTCGATGGTGGTGAGTTTAGTTTGAGCTTTTTGAGAAGGGGAAGATGATGGGGGAGGCGTGGTATGAGGGGGCTGAGGGCTCGGTTTAGGGGGTGTTATGTTTGAGGTGATTCCGGCGTTGAGTCCTTTGGGGTGCCAACCCTGGGTAAGAGACATACGTGCCGGAGACGTCAGCGTTTACCTGTTCTTTAAAGATCCAGACAGATGCTGGGAGAGAGCTGAGGCAGGACTAGGTGGGCTGGCAGGCTGGCGTCCTTCAGAGGAGGATCCTGGCAGGAGTGGCTGGGGAGGTGGGATGCCCACGGGCCGGGGTGGGGGCAGTGTGTGTGTTGGTGGGGAGTTTGGGATGGGATTGAGCAGGAGCCCAGGTTTGGAGGTGCCAAAGTGGAGCAGCGGGGCAAACATTAATACCGGTATTGATGGGTCATTGGATGCAAAGGGTGGAGTTGGGAGAGGTTGGCTGGTGGTAGCCTGAGGCTGGTAGTGGGAGGGGCAGACGGCAGGAGGTTTTGGAGTGCTGGGGTTCCAGAGAGATGGAGGCCGGCTTTGGGGCTTGGGCTGCCCTGTTGCTGTCAAGGGCCAGCAACCATGACTCCTTTGCCCCCATGGGAGGCTCTGGAGTTCGTGGGCCCTCAAGTCTTGCAAGCTGGGAAGCCGAGAAGGAGAGCCCGTTGCCAGCCTTTGTCAGCTAATCTCTAATCCCAGCGGAAAGGAGGTTTTACTCCCCAAGGGGCTTGCTTCCGGGGCCCAGGGGCTGGACAACCTCCCCGCCTCCCACTGAGCCTCTGGGCCAGCAGAATCCAGCCGGATGGGATAAGCAGGCCTGCGATTAGAGCCTGAAGGAGTTTCTCTGAAGTCTCCTCAGGAAGGATTAGAGGAGGTTATTTGGACTGACTATTTGAGCCGGGGCCAGGATGGCAGTTCGTTTTGTAACCGCCTGGGTCTTAGGGACCAGTCGGAGACTGCTCAGGTATAAAAGCCTCGCCACGCTGGGTTTGCATGATACCCAGCCCTGGACTCATGTCCCCCTCCTTCCGTCCAGCCAAGCCCTGCTGCTGACTCTGATGTGGCTTCATGGCACCCAAGGACTTCAATCAGAGCCAGACGTGGGCTCAAGTCCTAGGTCCCTTACTTGTCAGCTCTGTGACTCGGGGAACGTGTCTTAGCCTCGCTGCGCCCCCGCCAGTGCTCTGTTAAAGAGAGATGATAAAATGTGCCTTACAGGGCTGCTGGAGGGATGGTGGGACCGTGTGCTCCGTAGGAGTGGTGGAAATGTGCATTGGGTTTAAGGAGCTAACTGGTTGCTGTGCTCAGAGCAGAACCAACCGGTGCTGTATACAAGCAGGGAGGCCAGACCCACTGCCATCGAGCCAATTCTGACTCATCCCAACCTGTAGGGCAGAGTAGACCCGCCCCTGTGGGATTCAAAGGCTGTGGATCTGTATGGGCGCAGAGAGCCTCACCTTTCTCCCGTGGAGCAGCTGGTGTCTTTGAACCACCGACCTTGTGGTTAGCAGCCCAACACTTACCTGACAGCGCCACGAGAAGGAAGAGGATCTGAATATTATTGGAGTGGGGCAACGGCTTTGCTCCCCAGGGTCCTTAGATTGGCTCAGGCATCAAGATGATGCTTTTTTATTCGTTGTCTGTGGAGTCCCTAATTCACCCCAGCAGGGGGCAGGAGAGCGGAATTCCTGTTGTCCGGGTGCTTACAGTGCAGCGGGGAGGTCAGAAAGTTGACACTGAAGAGGGTGGTTTCTAAGGGGATAGATGCTGCTGGGAGGAGAGGGGTACATGAGGGGGAGGGTGCAGGAAGAGGAGAGGGTGGAGGTGCTTGCTCAGCCAGGGTGGGCAGGAAAGACCTCTCAGGGCGGTGACCTTTAAACCACAGCACAGATGAGCGTCAAAGATGCACGTGCTGCCTGTGGGCAGCATCCTCAGCAGAGAGAAGAGCAGGTGCAAGAGCCCTGAGGTCAGCACAGGCTTTAGAAACGGAGGCCGCAGGAGGAGGCCAGGTGGAGTGGAGTGGAGTGGGTGGGGGTGGGGGGCAGGAGACAGCCATGCAGGATCTTGGGGAAGTCGAGGCTTTCTTCTGAGTGTCCAAGGGGCCACTGGAAGATTCTCAGAAGGGGAGGGAGTAGACACGGAACTCACACAGGCCCTGGGTGTGGGCGTGGTCAGAGTTGTGAGCAGGGTCAAGGCGGGATGAGCCTGACCTGGAAGAGGAGGAGGCCTTTGGTGGGCCAGCCTCGGCCCATGCGAGGTTGCTGCTGTTAGCCCCAAGTCAGCTCTAATGCGGCTCCCTTACATATCACAGAGTCCAGTGCTGCCTGGCCCTGCGTGTCTTCACGCCACTGGCATTCTTGAGCCCAGGATTGCTCTCAGTCCAGTCCTTTACTGATGCGCACTCGGATCCAGAGCTCCCCGGTGGACAGGGCCTGTGGCCTCTGGGGCTAGTGCAGGCTTCCAGCTCCCAGTAGGTGGCCACCATGCTTTGCACAGTGTCACGGGCATCTTCCAGAGAGTTGTCAAGCAGTGAGGGTCCGTGGATGAACACGGACCACCAAGCTCCACCCCTGGGGCTCACAGCCAGAAGAAGGGGATTCTGGTCCAGGGCTTGACTGGGAGGATGTGAAGGCTGAGCTGCATGTGCCCTGGCCTGGCTTGGCCCGGCCCAGGCCTCTCCACTTCGCAAGCGCAGTGCACACCAGCTGTGCAGTTCACATCAGGGCAAGCAGGAAGGGCAGAGAGATTCACGCTGACCCTCTACCAGGCGAGGCCTCTTGGTTCCTAAGTCCCCAGCTCATCTTTCTCTCCCCCTTGTTCAGCCTTTCTGGAGTGTGGGTCCTGGCAGCCCTTGGCCCTTTGCCCCCCATGGGCTGGCTAACTTCATTCGGATCCTCCTCCTTCACGCATGGCCTTTGTGCATGCTGTTCCCTCTGCCTGAACACCCTTCCCTCTGGCCCAGCACTGTGCGCAGATGTGTTTTCCTTGGCCCACACAGTGTTTTCAGAAAAGGGGAGATTAGGTATCGCCACTTAACAGTTGGGAGTTTGCACAGGAAACTGGATTTCCGGCTTCTCTGGGAAAGCCTCGCGTCCTCCTGGATTTGAAGTTTTGGTTTTCCAGCTCAGTTGCAAGGCCTGGACGGGGCTGGTTCAATCGTGCATTGGTGGGGGGAGGGGGGAGCTGCCTCTGGCTGTGCATTCTGCATTTCGGCGGGATGGACTCAGAGGATTGCTAAATTCTGAGGCTCAGTCTGGAAGGCCCTGAGCGAATTGTATGCCAGGTGGAGCCTGAGGCCCAGAGAGGATCAGCGACTTGCCAAGATTTGCCCAGCAAGATGTGAACCCCTCTTGATCCTCAAAAAGGTGGCAAGACCCCGCTCAGGGCAGGAACAGGGGGCATAGCTGCCGCCTTCCAGGCTGCCTTCTTCTGCCCCCACATACAGGCCCTTCCTGTCCCCACTCCCTGGCCACAGGCCCGGGTCAGAAGCTCGTGGGCAGCCTCTGCTGGGTCTCCGGCTTCCGAGAGTGGGCGCCCAGCATCTGCTCCTTTCCCTCGGCTGCCAGCCCATTTGCCCCGTCTCTGGTGTTTGGTGTCTGAGAAGTGAATTGGGGGTGGACAGTACATTCATCCCATCCAGTGTTCCTGTACCCTTGCTCCTACACCCCCCTCACCCTTCCCCCAGGCTCTCTGAATACCTCTGCCCAGACTACTACCTACACACTAGGCAGGTCTTTGCTTAGCCAAAGGCTGGGATGCTAAAAATAGCCCTGCCCCCATCGGGCCCTGTAATTGGAGGCGGGACAGCTGCTTTCGATAAGCGAGAGAGCTCTGTGCTGGCCAGCTGCCACCTGCTTTTATGGAATACAGATTGCCTCGCCGGAAACAGCCCCGCTCCGGGCTTTCCCTTTTCCTGCTGACTCTGTGTGGGTTGAGTTCTGCGCTCAACCAAGAAGCATCCCCCCTCCCCCACCCCGACAGCCAGGACCCCGGGGCCTGGGTGAGCCAATGCACCATGGGGGAGGCCACACCGGGTTTCCGTTGCCCCCAGAACATTCCTTCTTGTTGCGGACTTCCTCCTCCGTTTTGTTATTTGATGATTGAGTTGTATTGGGCATTAGAGCGTAGCCAGACCCTGGGGATGCAGATGGTAATTCTTCTATTGGTACCCGGCGAGTTGGTGGTTCAAGGGCACCCAGCAGCACTTGGGAAGACAAGCCTGGTGAGCTCATTCTGAAGATCAGCCATCGAAATCCCTACGGTGCACAGTTCAAGTTTTCATGCCCGTGGAACCGCCAGGAGCCAGCGTTGGTTTGATGGCAGCTGGGTGCTTTGGGTCTAGGTCCTGGGGCTGTTGCTGAGGGTAAGACAGATAAAAATCCCTGCTGTGGGTAGCAACGATGAAACATATAACTTTCCTCTAGTTCTTTAATGCTTCCTCCCCCTCTATATCATGATCCCAATTCTACCTTACATGTCTGGCTAGACCAGAGGTCTAGATAGCAACTTGGTACAGATAGCAACTGGAAACACAGGGAATCCAGGATAGATGACTCCTTCAGGACCAGTGGTGAGAGGAGCGATACCTGGAGAGTGGAGGGAATGTGGGGTAGAAGGGGGGAACCGATGACAAGAATCTAAGTATTGCCTCCTCCCTGGGGGTTGGACAGCAGAGAAGAGGGCGGAGGGAAACATCGGACAGGGTAACATGACAAAACTATAATAATTTGTGATCTATGAAGGGTTCATGAGGGAGGGGGGAGGGGAGGGAGGGGGAAAATGAGCAACTGATATTAGGGGCTAGAGTGGGAGGCAAATGTTTTGAGAATGATGAGGGCAACAAATGTGCATATGAGCTTGACACAATGGATGGATGTATGGATTGTGATGAGAATTGTACGAGCCCCTAATAAAATAATAATAATTAAAAAATCCCTGCTTCCCTGGAGACTACACTCTGGTGGATGATAACTCACAGCAACCCGAGGACAGGTGGGACTGCCCCTGCGCTTTCTGAGCCGGCAACTCTTCTTTCTCACAATGTTTATTGTGAGTGAGGCTGTCATTTTAAAAAAAAGTTTTATTGGTACTTTGTCCATGCGGCATACAATCCAATACTTCAATTGCACCAAGAAGATGTGTGCAAGCTTTACCACAGTCAATTTGAGAACATTTTCTTTTCGTTGTACTTGTTATTTGTGTAATTTTTTTCCATTTTAGCAGAAATACACACAGCAAAACATTCACCAGTTCAACAGCTTCTATATGTGTAAATCAGAGCCATTGACTAGCCTCTTTGTGTTGTACACCATTATTGTTATCCCTCTCCAGATTGCTCCCCTGCCATTAGAATGAACTCCATGACCCCTAAGCAATTCTCTTCCTGTTTCACACAAGGTAACCATAGGTCAGGTTTGGTTTCTTTTATTCACAGGTAGTTTTCTTGATATCATAGTCACATATCATCCACCTCCATAGTTAAACTGCTTCTAAGAAGAGTTGTAGACACATCATCACAATCAGCTCTAAAGTTCTTTCCTGCCCTATAACTCTTTAGAGAGCCAGCCAACTCGTAAATAAGCCCCTCAGAAACCAAGCTCACAGCCATTGAGTTGATTTTGACTCAGGTCAACCCTATAGCCGGAGTAGAACTACCTCTGTGGGAGCAGGGAGCCTCACCTCCATTGGAGTGACTGGTGGGTCCAAGCGAATGACCTTTCTTAACCCAGTGTCTAACTCAGGATGCCCCCAGGTCCCCTAGACAGGATGATGCCAGGCAGGGGTCGATGCTGAAAAGGAAGAGACAGATGTGCAGGGAGGCCTGTGTGGGAGTAGGTCCTGGGGAAGTGACCTTGGAGCCGAGGATGGCAGGAGGGGAAGGCGTGCAGAGCTGGGCATTTCCAGATGGAGGAAGCAGCAAGTCAAAGGCCCAGAGGCAGGCATTTTTGCTGAAGGGAGAGGTGGGGTTGTGGGGGAGCCCAAGAGATGAAGTCAGGGGCAGCTGTGGAACCAGGTCACTCAGGGCCTCGTGGTCACTTGGGCCGGACTAAGGAGTCCCAGGTTAGCTCGCTCACTGCAGGGGTTGACGTTGGAGAATGACACGACTTGATGACCTTCCCACTCTGACTCCCCACAAACCCCCTCTCTGTTTGTGCGTTCATCTCCTCTGCGGTTCCTCTTTTCCTCCCTCTGCCCGCCCAGCCATGGAGCCACCCGTCAGCCACTCCCCGCTCATCTTACCAGCTGTCCGTCCACTGGTCCTCCTCCTTCCATTACCCATTTCCCCATCTACCCAGTCATTGATCTGCCTATCAAGTCTGCCTGTCTACCACCCACCAGCCCGTTCCTGCACCCGGGCCATCTATCTAGTCATCCTGCCTATCTGTCAGCCCGCCCTCTCCCCCGCCCTCCTTTCCTCCCACCTGTCCATGAGCTCTAGGGACTGGTGCATCCACCTTACTGCCCCTGGACCTGGGGTTAAGCCTGAGGCTTCCTTGTTTGGGTTCCTAGTCCTCAGAGCATGGCCAAGGGCTGTGGGCATCTAAGCCTCGCTTCCCGAAGGGGTGGGGCTGGGCCGGCTTCTTGTGGGCCCCTCTCGTCCTAGGATTGGGGGTGTCCTCTCAACTACCTCTTATCTTCCGGCAGTGAGTTTGTGGCCTGGCTCCTGGAAATTGGTGAGATCAGCAAGACGGAGGAAGGGGTCAACTTGGGCCAGGCCCTGCTGGAGAATGGGATTATCCATCATGGTGAGGGGACAGGTCTTGGTGGGGCCCTGTCGAGAGTGGCGAGGGGGACCAGTAGCACCACCCCACCTGCACGGAGAGGGCAGCTCAGCAATGCCGGGTTCAGCACAGAGCCTGGCTGGTGGGGTGGTGACATGGGGTAGCCACTAGTGAATGGGGGTGGGGTGGGGCAGGGTGTTGGAGGGCCCCAGGAACATGCCCAGCCTGACCAGGCCCTGGTCCCTCCAGTCTCTGACAAGCATCAGTTCAAGAATGAGCAGGTGATGTACCGCTTCCGCTACGATGACGGCACCTACAAGGCGAGGAGTGAGCTGGAGGACATCATGTCTAAGGTAGGGACCCTGACCACTCAGGCCCTGAGGACATCCCCTGACACTCCATACCCCCTAGGAGCCAACCCCCCTCCCCC